AAACCAACTTTTGCCCCACCCTGTATATTCTAGCTCCTGGTGGAACGCCAGGAAAAGGCAATTTCCAAAGTGTTGAGTTCAGTCCAGGGCAACTTCCCTGTTCTGTTAATTAAACTTTGGGACACTGAAACACGGGCCAGGGGAGATGACCGGATAGAAAAACATTGTTCTATTCACTTACCTCCCGGCCTACAAAAATGCTTGCTCAGGTGGAAATATATCAGCAGGTTAAAGGGGACCGAAGACTAATGAGCTTGGGTTAGCAGAAGACTCTGTTCCTTCCGAAGTTTGGCGTCTGTTGTGCTATTAGAGATCCAAGGACAGTGAATAATTTTCACACGTGGCTGCTCTTCCAGGACCACATGGTGACAATGCACGACGTGCTGGACGCCCAGTGGCTGTATGATAACCACAAGGACGAGAGTTACCTGCGGCGAGTGGTCTACCCTTTGGAAAAGCTGCTGACGTCTCATAAACGGCTGGTTATGAAAGACAGCGCAGTAAGTTCTGGGTGTCAAGTCCACGTTCGGACAAAGCGTGACTTCACAGCTGAGATGTCCGTGTTTTTTTTTTTTTGTTTGTTTTTGTTTTTTTAATTTATTGATTTTTTTGCAGAGAGGAAGAGAGAGGGATAGAGAGTTAGAAACATGGATGAGAGAGAATCATCGACCGGCTGCCTCTTGCACACCCCCTACTGGGGATGTGCCCGCAACCAAGGCACATGCCCTTGACCGGAATCCAACCTGGGACCTTTCAGTCCACAGGCCGACTCTCTATCCACTGAGCCAAACCAGTTTCGGCAGATGTCCGTGTTCTGACAACTTTTTAAAGAGGTGAAACATGACGTCAACTCAAATTCCTTGGGGTTTCTGCTTTTTGTTTTGTAGATTGTACACTGGGTTCTTTTTCCTTTTTTTTTTAAAATATATTTTATTGATTTTTTTTTTACAGAGAGGAAGAGAGGGGGATAGAGAGTTAGAAACTTCGATGAGAGAGAATCATCGATCAGCTGCCTCCTCACACCCCCTACTGGGAATGTGTCTGCAACCAAGGTACATGCCCTTGACCGGAATCGAACCTGGGACCTTTCAGTCCACAGGCCGATGCTCTATCCACTGAGCCAAACTAGTTTCGGCTTCCTCTTTTTTTTTTTTTAATGAAGCTTTTATGATTAACTTTTATTAAATCAGAACCAAATATACTGAATTAAAGTAAAAGTTTAATGCTAGGTCTAATTCTACTTTTAAGTAAGGCAACTTAATTAAACATTTACCTAAGCGTTTTCCCAAAGTAACTTGCTTCAAGAAATATACTATCTGTGGTCCATGGAATTTGCTTTCCATACCTGGTAGTTCTACATGTGTGTAATAAACGGATTGTATTTAAATTGCTGCAAGAAAAGGTTGTTTTGATGGGGATAAAAAGTTAAGACTATAGAGCTTCAAAGATAAGTTACTTCCCTTCCAAGTAGTCCAGAATTTTAAAAATAGCCTTTTTATTTCTGATGGTCAGAGAAGAGCCTTTTATAAATTAAGGTTGTCTTTGTGCCCAGCTGCATAACCAAGTTTTTGTCCAACGTTATGTAGCAACAAAAAGATTCTCTGACTTTGAAGAATATAAATTTCTGTATTAAATCATTTGAGGTTTATCATTCATATTCAAATCCTGTTATATAGAATTTTTTTAAAAAGATCATCACTCGATATTTTTTCCATTGATTTTTTTTTTCTTTGAGAGTGGTGGGGAGGAAGAATGGGGAGAAAGAAATGTTGATGTGAGAGGGACATAACAATTGGTTGCCTCCTGCATGCGCCCCGACTGGGGCCAGAGATCAAGTTTGCAACCGAGGTCTGTACCCTTGACCAGGAATCGAACTCATGGGCATCAGCAGAAATCTAGCTAGGACAAAGCAGGTGGAGCGGGATGCATTAAGTGCCATTGAACTCAGGGAGAGGTGGCCTTAACACGTACCTGTTGGCCTATAAGTTATGCCAAAACCTGTAGGTACCCTGTTTCCCCGAAAATAAGACAGTGTCTTATATTAATTTTTGCTCCCAAAGATGCGCTAGGTCTTATTTTCAGGGGATGTCTTATTTTTCCATGAGGAAGAATACGGTACACATTTATTGTTAAATGAAAATAAAGGAAATTTATTACCTGTATACGGTACGGCAGAACGGTAGTTGTCAACACAAACCAGACAAACTGTGAATCCTACAGTATCAAGAATTTACTCATTTATTCAATGACAATCATGTCATCATCTTCTGGAACATCATCATAACAATCCAATTCCTGAATTTCCTGGTGAATTTCTTGTGACTCCATTTCTTTCAGAATCAGTGGACCAAATCTCTCATGTTTAGCAATAGCATTCTGAGACAGAGCCTAGGGGAGGTAGGGGGGCCTTATTTTCGGGGGATGCCTTATATTTCACTCAGAAGGAAACCTGTAAGTAGGTCTTATTTTCGGGAAACACGGTAGGTGGTTCAATAGGTCTTGGTAATCTTGCTAGCGAGTTCCTCTGGGAACCTATGCTCTGACCACTATCCAAATCTCCCAGTAGATCTGATAGGTCTCCTAGTTCTGTTAAGGTTTTCTCTCATTAAGGAACAGAAGAGCAATAAGGGAAACTAAGGCTAGGCATTGATTTAGAATGAAAATATCCTAAGTTCCACAGACAGAGGAGCTGCTAAAGTCCTAGTGTGTGGTTGTCACTCAGAGTCCCTTCGCATGCTCATTGCAGCCATTGGTTTCACATGTGGGGCGATGCCCAAGGCCCCTCCCCTTCGTCTCTGGTGTGGGGTAAAGGCAGTGGCTGGGGCGCTCAGGGTTGATGCCATCCTTGCAGGTGAATGCCATCTGCTATGGGGCGAAGATCATGCTTCCGGGTGTGCTGCGATATGAGGACGGCATCGAGGTCAACCAGGAGATTGTGGTCATCACCACCAAAGGGGAAGCCATCTGCATAGGTAAGGGGTCGCTCTCCCTCCTGCACCATCCGAGCCAGGCGCCCGAAGAGCAGGTCCCCCGATCCTGGCCCCTCGGTTTGATCTCACTGAATTGCCAAGGGTCTGTAGGTGGGGTCCCAGCCAAGGGCCATGTCAGACAGGCGCGGGCGAGGAGGAGGTAGAAGGGGTTTGCCTTACCCCTCTGGCTGCTGTTAGAGGCCGTGTCTCAGCAGCGTGGTTCTCTAATGAGAAGAGGACATCTGGAAGAATGGGAATAAATGGTTATCAATGAAGAGCCTTTATTCCACTTCTTGTCTATATGTCCATCTTCAGCAAAGGAACCTAAAGGCAGTAGAGTAGGGGTGTCGAACTCAATCAGAGAAGGGGCCAAAATCTAAAATCCAGCCTAAATCGCGGGCCGAATGGTTTACTGAACAGTCATAAACTGTCATTGTGATGGAAACGCAGCGGAGTTCAGTGATGACAGCGCGGTGCGGGCCACGTTGCAAGGCCTGGCGGGACGGATTTGGCCCTCGGGCCTTGTGTGACACATGTGCAGTAGAGCTTTTAAAAAGCCATTTAAAACGGTGGAATTCAGGCTTAGCAATTATTGTGTCTTGCCCCTTTAAATCATTCTGTGTGTGTGTGTATTGAATTCAGAGAGGATGGGAGAGGGTGAAAGAGATAGAAACATCAATGATGAGGAAAAAATCATTGATCAGCCGTGTCCTGCACCCCCCCTCCTGGGGATCAAGCCCACAACCTGGGCATGTGCCCCGACCGGAATCGAACTGAGACCTCCTCGTTCCGCTGAGCCACACTGGCTGGGCTTAAACCATTCTTTTATCTCTTCGACACCTGCAGCTATTGCATTAATGACCACCGCAGTGATCTCTACCTGCGACCATGGGATAGTAGCCAAGATCAAGAGAGTGATCATGGAAAGGGACACTTACCCTCGCAAGTGGGGTTTGGGGCCAAAGGTAAGTGGGACCAGTCGAGATTTCAGTCTGATGGGAGAAAGCAGATGGCCATCACTCGGCTAGAATGGTGGATTTCAGCCAAGGTGAGGGTTTCTCAAGGAGTGCAGGGGTGCCTGACACCTCAAGAGTCTGCAGTGAGGGGATCTGGGGAAGGGAGGGTCATTTGAGAAGGATTAGATGGTTTGAGCTGGGAAAAGTCCAGGCAGCTGGAATAGTATGTGCAAAGGCCCTGCGGCACAAATGGCACTGCAGAGGTTCTCTAAGGCTGTAAGCCCCGTGACCCTTACCAAGTCCCAAGTCCCGTGCTGGTGCCAATCAAAGAGAATGGGTGTGTTTTTTGTTATTGTTTGTTTGTTTGGCTTTTCTTAATCCGCACCTGAGGCTATTTAGAGATTTGTAGGGAGGAGGGAGAAACATTAATTGATTGCCTCCCACACCCTGACCATGGCTAGGGCCTCAAACCTGCAACCCAGGTACGTGCCCTTGACTGGGAACAAAATGTGAGACCTCTTGGCGCATGGGCTGACGCTCTAACCATTGGGAACACTGGCCAGGGCAAGAATGGGGGAATTCTGAGTGCTGTATATAGGAGCTTCGGGCCCAGGTGAGAATACACCAGGGAGAAACCTGATTTGGGCCGCGTGCGGGCAGTCAGCCTGCTGTATGTGCTGACGCCGTCCTGATGTTGGAATCCTAACGTCCCCCAGGCCAGTCAGAAGAAGCAGATGATCAAGCAGGGCCTTTTGGACAAGCACGGCAAGGCCACAGCCAGCACGCCCGCCGCCTGGACACAGGAGTACGTTGACTACAGGTGAGGGCAGGACGCTGTGGACACCCAGGGCCTGCAGACGCACGCTTGCCTGCATTTGCGTGCTCGAGTGCACCAACTCTGATGGCAGCAGCACTGGGGACAGGAGGATGTGGAACCCGGAGGGGTGGACGCAGCATGCTGGCCACCTGGACAGGCACATCAATGACACACTGTGGGGAGGGGGTAGACGTGGGACCAAAGGAGCCCGTGCGGCCCTTCATGTGGCCTGGGCCGTAGGGCGAGGAGGTTGCTTTGCAGCAGTTACCCTTTCTAGTCTGGCACGTGGGACTTCAGAGGGCGTCCATCTGCGACAGTGAGTGGTGAGTTGCCTGGTCCAGCGTCAGTATTCTGATGGTGGCGTTAGACTTGCCAGAGGGAAGGATTAGATGGTTTGAGCTGGGAAAAGTCCAGGCAGCTGGAATAGTATGTGCAAAGGCCCTGTGGCACAAATGGCACTGCAGAGGCTCTCTAAGCCAGATACCTGTGACTGGCTGCGGGGGAAGCAGTCCCTCCCCAGACGCTGCTCCATCCAATCTAACCCGACGCTCCCTCTCCTTTCAGCGATGCCGTGAAGACAGAGGCAGTTGCTACACCAATAAAGGCTCCGATTAAGGTACGGGGCACGTGGCGGTTAGTTTGGAATGCACCGCGGGCAGTGGTTCTGTGTGGCTTATCCTGGTGGCTGCAGGCCAGCCATGCATCCTGGCTCAGCCCGACAGGGCCTTCCGCCTCATATGTGCATGGTGCTCAGATGACGTGTTGTGCCCCAGGGTCCTTACCTGCAGGGGGCTCTGCAGGTGCCTGTTGTGTCTTCCAGGAGTCGGGGATCAGACTGGCCTCATCTTCCACCTCAGCTTAGGCAGCACCGAAACTAGGGGTTGGGGATGCGTGTTACCCTGACCCCCACCCCGGGTCAAGTGATCGCACGTGTGTGTTGAAATCGGAGGCTAACACGTGGAGCTATACGGGACTCGGCAGGAGCAATGCCACCCGAGAGCTCTCCCCAGACAGCACCAGTTCAGTGTTTAGAGGGACAGCTTGGCTCCCCAGGGTTGGGGACCACTGGCGTCACAGCTTAGGATGACGTGTGGCCGAGTGACGTGAAGCAAGCTGTCTAGAGGAGCTTTTCCTGCCTTGTCACCTTTGAGGACTCGGGGGGCCCCTCGGGGACATAGAGTCCAGCTTGTGGTCCTAGAGAGGCTGGCCTCCAGGAAAACGGCTTCCTGCTCTTTGTGGATGAGACAGTCTCGGAATCTTCAAGGACCTCCTGTGTGCCCAGGGAGGGACTTTTCTTACCTTTTCACTTCCCGAACCTCTCCCATCCGTTTCTGCCTGAGATCTAACATTTGCTCCACTGTCTCCTCAGCGGAGTCGAGAGAGTGAGAGTGACGAGACCTCGCCAGAGCCAGAGTCTCCGGAGCCAGTCAAGGAGGAGAAGGAAAAGGAGAAGAAAAAGAAGAAGAAGGAGAAGAAGAAGGCCAAAGCCGCCGCGGAGGATGCGGGCGAGCAGGCAGATGGGGTGCGTATAGACATGCGCGGGGTGGTTTGAATTGCCCAGTTGGTGCCAGTTGGGTCAGCTGGGGAGCTGAGCCGTATTACTGGAGTGCCTTTTATACCCACTATCCTGCAGGATGTACATAGACAGGCCCTGGCATTTTTATTTTTAATACAGTTTTATTGATTTCAGAGAGGGAGAGAGAGAGAGAAAAACATCAATGATGAGCGAGAATCATCGATTGGCTGCCTCCGGCAACCCCCCACTGGGGGATGAGCCCGCAACCAAGGTACGTGCCCTTGACCGGAATCGAACCCGGTACCTTTCAGTCCTCAGGCCAACGCTCTATCCACTGAGCCAAACCGGTTTTGGCAAGCTCAGGGCTTTGTTACGTTCAAAAATGGTTGAACCCGGGGCATCCTCACAGATCCTGCCTGTGGAGCTTCCCCGATTTATTTCCTTTTGGGAAAGCGGCAGTGGTTCCGTTAACAGGTTCTGTGAACTTTCTCTCTCTCTCTCTCCCAGGACAATGATGCCACCAAAAAGAAGAAGAAGAAAAAGAAAATCAAAGTGGAAGTGGTTTCTGACTAGTGGCGATCACCGTAGGCGCCGTGCCCAGCTGGGAGGAAGAATGAAAGCCTGAGAAAACATAGCTCCTTTGGTTCTTCAAGGGTGAGAGCTGGGCACGTTTTAGCAGCTAGCCGAGACCTGAGTGACGAAACCTGAGTGACGTTACCCGGTGTGGTCATCCCATCTTGTCCTGTTTTAAGGATACGGGTGCAGGAGGCAGATTGGATACCCCCACTTCTCTCCTTGGGGGAGTGGGGGAGCCCCGCCTTCGGACCCTGCACTGCCTGGTAACCAGCACAGCTGTTTCCGGACAGCTGTTCCAACTCCATCCTCCTCTACTCATCTGCTTCTGCCATTCCCCCATGCCCTTCTGGTAAAAAAAAAAGTCGATAATAATTGCACAGGGAAACGGTTTAGAGGAAATAAAAGAATAGGACAACCATGTTTGCTGGGGTGAATCTCCAGTGTGTGACAGGACAGTGTGTCAGCGCCACCTTTGTTATTCCGTGTGTCTCCCAGGCAACGGCCCGAGTCCAGGTCTTCCGTCTTTCCAGCTGCTCCTGTTCCGCTGGCCTGGCAGCGGGCGCAGTTACTCCAGCTTGCGTACAGTCACATGTACCTCAGTCCATCTGACCACCTGTGTTCCTGACAAAACCCAAACTGTATTCCCTTGTTCCTACCCTCTTTCTTTCAAAGGATGCAATCAGTCCTTGCTGGGAAAAGGTGGTTGTAATTTTTACTTATTAAAGTTTGCTTACTATGTTTTTTTTAAACTATTCCTGTTGGATTTTCTAATCGGTGATGGTCTCAAACTAGAACAAAAACAAAAATGTAAAGTACTTTGATTAAAAATCGGGGGCCTTTGTGTCAGACTTGAAAGGTGATGCTAATTATGCGACGTGTCTGGCAGAAGGTGTGCGTGTCCCTGTATGGGCGGTGGTGGTGGTGGGGTGCCTGGGAAAAGCCCGAGGAAGCATGAAAGGGCCAGATTTTTAAAACATTTTAATTTTATTTCAGAGCGGGAGCGGGGGAGAGAGAAACATAGATGAGAATCCTTGATCGGCTGCCTCCTGCCCACCCCACACAGGAGCGAGCCTGCAGCCTGGGCCTTTGACCTGACCGGAATTGGAGTTGTGACCTCCTGGCTTAACAGGTTGACGATCAACCACAGAGCCACGAGGGCCTGGCAAAGAGCCAGATCTTGACAGGCCTTTAAGTACCTAAACACTTAGTGCTCCAACTCAGTTGGATGGGGGCCAGTGCGTGGCAAAAACCTGGGGAGGGAGTGATGGCTGAGTTTAGGAATCAAGGGCTTGGTGAGTTTACAATCTGGTACCAAAACCCATGAAACAAATATGGGGAGCAGTCTCCAGATGCAGCAAGGACCCCCTATGCCCCCCCCCCCCCCCCCGAGTGACCACAGAATTAGGAAATTAAATGCCTGCCAGGGATGGGTTTGGGGTGAAGACTTATGTGGACACTACCCTTGGGACAGTGTTGGGGGTTTCCAGGGTATGTGTTTGTAATCCTAATAGTTCCTCATTTCAGCTCTTGAGAGTTTAACCTGGGCAGCCAGTCATGTGAGTGCTCAAAAACCATGTCTTGTGGCTGACCCAGTTTGGCTCATATGCCCAGATTGTGATCCCCAGTAGGGGGCATGCAGGAGGCAGGCAATCAAATGTTTCTCATCGTTGATGTTCCTTCCTTTCCCTTTCTGAAATCAATACAAATGTGTTTTTAAATAAAGCCATGTCTTTGAATAAAGAGAAAGAAAATGAGTGACTAGGGGAGGGGGGTGGGGTAAGGGGAAGGGATCAACCAAAGGACTGTGTGCATGCATATGGGCCTAGCCAGTGGCCATGGACAACGGGGGGGTGGGGGCATATGTGGGGAGGGGTTTGGGATGGGAATGGGGGGATGAGGACAATTATGTGAGACCATACTCAATAAAATTAATAAAAATGAAAAGAAAAAAAAAAGAAAATGAGTGACTTGGGGAAAATGGTAAGATTTAGTAGAAATAACCAAGGCCGGTGCAAGCAGAAGCAAAAATGTTTGCTTTATCTCCCCATGGAGCAAAACTGGACAGTCTTACACCAATGCTCTCGGTGCTTTTTATATGTTGCACTTGTACATGTATACATACCTGCCTCAATGCACCAATTTGTGCCCTGCCCAGTGCATGCGCACCCTACCCCCCAAATAAGAGGTAGGATAATTCTGACCCTTTATCCCTAGTCTGCAGGAGGCAGCTGATCAATGATTATTTTATTGATTTTTACAGAGGAAGGGAGAGGGATAGGAACTGCCTCCTGCATGCCCCCTATTGGGGACTGAGCCCACAACCAAGGTACATCCCCTTGACCAGAATGGAATCCAGGACCCTTTTGTTCAGTCCACAGGCTGATGCTCTAGTCTATTCACTGAACCAAACTAGTTAAGGGCTTGTCATTGCTCTATCTCCCTCTCCAAAATCGATAAAAATAGATTTTTTAAAAAAGATGGCTCAACACCTGAGGGAGGCATCTGGTGGCAATGCTATCCCTCCAGGACAGTGGTTCTCAACCTTCCTAATGCCACAACCCTTTAAGCAGCTCCCCATGTCGTGGTGACCCCCAGCCATAAAATTATATTCGCTGCTACTTCATAGCTGTAACTTTGCTGTTAAGAGATCGTAATGTACATATCTGGTGTTCTGATGGTCTTAGTAGACCCAGCTAGTGGTTCTCAACCTGTGGGTCGCTGCCATAGAGCCTAAGACCATCGGAAAACATATTTACGTTGTTCATAACAGTAGCAAAATTAGGAAGGTTGAGAACCACTGCTCCAGGAGCTGAAAACAGGTGGCATTTCTCTCTAGTCAGAGGCTTGGGGTACCAGTAAACACCCAGAGAGTTCCAAGGTCACCGGCATTTTCACAGTAATCTCTTTATTGCTTTTTTGAGGGTTTTCCTAGAGCAGACATCCTATTGCACAGCTGTTGCATTTTGGCGTTTTAGAAAGGCAGTAAAAAAAAGGCTTTCTTCAGAGGAAAGACTGATTACAGGTGGAGGAGCGCAGGCTTCGGAGGGCCAGGGGCCAGGCTTTTTCTCGCCGTGAGCACCGTCTTGGATTAGCATTTGCATTTGGGTCGTGCTTCTGCCCCAATTTCCAGAGATTTCTTTGGAAAAATCAGTGGGGCCCCCATGCAGCAGGAAAACCGGAGCCGAGCCCTTGAAGAGTTGGGAGTAAGACTGCCACCCACTGGCCTAATTAGGAGAGTTGCATAGAGCTGGAAGCGGACACAACACTAGCTGGAGCGACCCTGTTTGTCTTAAAGCGAGGGGAGTGGAGTTCCAGATACTGAGCAGAGTATACGGGAGCCCCATTTCTACAAGCTTAGTAAACCCAGGAGACGGGCACCCACTGTGGAGATCGGCACGCTTGGTCGAAGGCTTCTTGCAGTTTCTTAAGGATTTCATCCACGCCATTGTTGACCAGGGAGAGGTCAAAGTAGTGAGCATACTGGCTGCGGATGGCCTCCGAGTCCTTCTGCAGCTGCTGCAGGGCTTCCGTCTGCAAAGGAGAGAGAAGCAGCCACTGGTGAAACAGGTGCGTCAAGCCCAGCCAGAGGGGCTAGTGACAGCTTTTGAAAAAAAAAAAAAAATTATTTTATTTTATTTTATTTCGGAGAAGAAGGGAGAAGGGGAGAGAGAAAAACATCAATGATGAGAATCACTGATTGCCACCTGCACACCCAGGCATGTGCCCTGACCGGGACTCGAACCGGTGACCTCCTGGTCCATTGGTCCACGCTTAACCACTGAGCCACGCTGGTGGGGCCAGTGACAGCTTTTGAGCAGGTGTTGACTGTTGTGACTGTTGCCTAGCTTTCAGTCACCTGCTTGGAGACAAGCCCTGAAGACGTGGAGAATGTTGGAAGGGAACAAAGAGAATGTTGGAAGCGAGGCAAGCAATTATGAATAATTCTCAGAGGATCTCTAACTCTCAAGCTAATCAGAGCTCTCTGGAAGACCGATAGCTATCTCCCAGCTCTTGCCCTTGAACATGGACAGCCATTTCTGCAACCACCAGAGCTGCGATCCCAGGACAAGGGTAACTGCAACTTAGAACTCCGGGCCTCTTCCTAGGCCCCAGAACCAAGTGGCGGTGAAGATAGATAATTTAACTTTTGTAAAAGTAAAAAGGGTTCTGGAGCGATAAACACCAAGAGGCATGCCAAATTGGGGGGGGGGGGGGAGGAGATTGCAACTGATATCACGAGGGCTAATTACCCTAATATAGAGTTCCTAGAAATCACTAAGAGAAAGGCCGATAACCCAACAGAACAATACGCTAAGGACATGACCAGGTCTTAACAGAAAAGACAATACAAGCCTAGCTGGCCTGGCTCAGTGGTTGAGCATCAACCTAGGAACCAGTAGGTCACGGTTCCATTCCGCCATCAGGGCATACGCCCCGGTTGTGGGCTTGATTCCCAGTAGAAGGCCTGCAGGAGGTGGCAGACTGATGATTCTCTCTCATCATTAATGTTTCTATCTCTCCCTCTCTCTGAAATCAATAAAAACATGTTTTTAAAAAGGCAATACAAATGGCCTTAGCTGGTTTTTCAATCTCCCTCCCTCTCTCTACCTCTCTGAAATAAAAACATACATATACACTGAGTGGCTAGATTATTGTGAACTCTGAATGCATCATAATCTGGCTACTCAGTGTATATCCTGCATAATAAAAGGCTAATATGCAAATTGTCCCCTCGACCAGGAGTTTGACCAGCAGGCAGGCCGGCCAACTGCCCATGTCCCCTCCCCCTGGCCAGGCTGATCGGATACCACCCATGCACAAATTCATGCACCAGGTGAATATATGGTATTCATTTGGGGAGCTATGCTGGGGGTTAGAGGTTAGGGATATATATATATATATATATATATATATATATATATATACACACACACACACACACACACAGAGTGGCCAGATTATTATGCATTCAGAGATCATAATCTGGCCACTCAGTGTATATATAAAAGGCAATACAAATGGCCCTCAAGAGTCTGACATGGCCCAAACCGGTGTGGCTCAGTGGATAGAGCAGCCTGCGGACTGAAGGGTCCCGAGTTCGATTCCGGGCAAGGGCATGTACCCTGGTTGGGGGCACATCCCCAGTGGGGGTTGTGCAGGAGGCAGCTGATCGATGTTTCTCTTTCGCGTTTCTCTTTCATCGATGTTTCTAGCTCTCTATCTCTCTCCCTTCCTCTGTAAAAAAGCAATAAAATATATTTTTAAAAAATAAAAAAGGAGAGTTAACCCCTCTCCACCCTGTACTACCCCCTCCTTCCCACCTGAGTGCCCTGGTCAGTGGGTGCGATAAACACAATGAAAGGTGACAGTTCTGCTGTCCGGACAATCTTGAGAGTCTAGAAAAGAGGAAGGGGAAGGAAGAAAAGATTTTAAAACGTAGTCAGCTGTCCCCATGCATTCCTTCCAGTAAGCATCTCTGGGCATCACCACGCCCAGTCCTATTTCTATCACTTCCTGTCCTCCTGTTCTTCCTGCTGACCCGCTGGGAGTAGCTGAAGCACCTCTGAGCTCCCCAGACATGCCCATCAGCGTTGCTCTTCAGCGTCCCCCATGCCCACGCGCCTGCCTTTCGGTGCCGACCCACCTGCGGCTCGATGTCCAGAATGGCGATCTTGTTCTGCTCGTGGATCCGGTGCACCGTTTCAAACTTGGTGCCGAACATGTTGCCCTGGTAGCTGCCAAACTCCAAGAACTCGTTGGCAGAGATGCTCCTGCTCATCTCCTCCGTGGAGATGAAGTGGTACTCCTTTCCGTCCTCCTCGTTCTTCTTGGGCGGCCGTGTGGTATCTGCGCACAAGAAGCCCCGGCCCCTGACACACCCGGGGTCCTCGCCACAGACAACGGCGTCTGGACTGAAACCCTCACTGCCTGTGGCGCAGAGCTTAGTAGGTGGTTTTCTCCCACGGGATCCTTAAGGGCTGGCCATAGGAGATGATGCGGATCAGGAAATCCCCTACCCACCCAGAACACGTTTAACCTTCAGAAGGCGAAGCCCAACATAAAAAATTCCTATCAGCCGGGCCAGTGTGGCTCAGTGGTTGAGCATCAACCTAGGAACCAGGAGGTGACGGTTCGATTCCCGGTCAGGGCACAGGCCCGGGTTGCAGGCTCGATTCCCAGGGTGGGACGTGCAGGAGGCAACCAATCCATGATTCGCTCTCATCATCGATGTTTCTCTCTCTGTCTCCCTCTCCCTTCCTCTCTCTGAAAGCAATGAAAACACATTAAAAAAGAAAAGAAAGCCGAAACCGGTTTGGCTCAGTGGATAGAGCGTCTGTCTGCGGACTGAAAGGTCCAGGGTTTGATTCCAGTCAAGGGCATGTACATTGGTTGCGGGCACATCCCCTGTAGGGAGTGTGCAAGAGGCAGCTGGTCGATGTTTCTCTCTCATCGATGTTTCTATCCCTCTCTCTTCCTCTCTGTAAAAAATCAATAAAATATATTTAAAACAAAAACAAAACACACAGTTACATTGTTAGTTGGAACGATTATGGGTACAAATCTGTATCTTGCCTAAATTGTGTTTTGTTTTTATGATGAAACATTTCAAATGAAATCACCAAAAAAGGACCATCACCGTCTCTCGGATGGGAGAGTGCTCCTACTTGCCCTCCGAGTCCCCAGAGCTACTTACACGGGGCTGGGTACTCAAACTTCTCCGGGTTCTGGCTGAGCAGGGCGTTCTTAATATGGCTGCGACCTACGCCACTGGCTCCTGCGGAGGAGGACAGAGAATCCACGTTGCTGATTTTCAGGAAGCCTTCCATGTCTTTCCCCAGAGAGAAAGGAGGGGACGGTAGTAGGAATAGGACATGGCTTTCCTCTCCCAGGCCTGCAATTGCCTGCAGGTGGAAGGAAGTCCGCATAGCCTCTGAGTTGGGGTCAGAGGCAAGCGTTCCTTAAGCACAGGGGTGGGGAACCTCCAGCCCTCGGGCCGTATTAGGCCCGTGAAATCATTTGGTCTGGCCCTGCCAAAGCATTAGGGGTGAGTTAATGAAATGTTTGATAAAATATAGCAGCCTAATTTTTAAGTAGATAATTTTGTATCGCCTGCAAATCCTATATAATAAAACCCTAATATATGCTGAAACCGGTTTGGCTCAGTGGATAGAGCGTCGGCCTGCGGACTGAAAGGTCCCAAGTTCGATTCTGGTCAAGGGCATGTACATTGGTTGCAGGCATATCCCCAGTAGGGGGCTATGCTATATATTTTGGTTGCGGGCATATCCCCAGTAGGGGACTATATATTTTAAAATATATTAAAAAAAATAATAATAAAACCCTATATATTTTGGTTGCGGGCATATCCCCAGTATGGGGCTATATATTTTAAAATATATTTAAAAAAAAATAAAACCCTAATATGCAAATTGACCAAAAGGTGGAATTACTGATCGCTATGATGCGCACTGGCCACTAGGGGGCAGACGCTCAACGCAGGAGCTGCCCCCTGGTGGTCAGTGTGCTCCCACAGGAGAAGTGCCACTCAGCCAGAAGGGGTCCTGAGGGGTACCAGACTGCGAGAGGGTGCAGGCTGGGCTGAGGGACCACCCCCCCACACACACAAGTGCACGAATGTCATGCACCAGGCCTCTAGTGATGTCATAAATATCCAAATGGCCCTTTGCAGAAAAAAGGTTCCCCATGTCTGCTTTAGGTGCAGGGGGATTTGAGGCTCCAGGCCCTTGTGTCCCAGTTGGGGAAGAAGGCTCTTCCTAAGGCTGAGGGCCAGGACTCAGACCATAACTGTTCCTTCCACATACGAGGGTTTCTATTTTCTAAGGATAGCTGTACTGAGCTCTCCCGATGAATACTGTTGGATTGAAGCTGGTGTCTTCACTGGAAATTTCACCGAAACCTAATACAGATCTTCTAACCAACTAATATTTAATTGTGATGAATCACCCACCAGACCCAAGGTCCACATACCTGGGTGTGGAGCAAAGACTCATTTTATCTCAAGGCCAGAGCTCATGTGGATGACTAAAGAGCTTATGTTACTAACGAAGCACTCTAACACATATACTTTGAAAAAAGCACAGGACGGCCCTTGCTGGTTTGGCTCAGTCAAAAGTGTCAGCCCTTGGACCAAAGGGCTGTGGGTTCGATTCCCAGTCAAAGGCATGTGCCTGGGTTGCAGGATCCGTTCTTGGCCCCAGTTGGAGTGTGGGAGGCAGCCAATTGATGGATGTGTCTCTCTCACGTTGATGTTGCTCTCTCTCCCCCTGCCCCCTTCCAACTCATCCCCTGCTTCCACTCTCTCTAAAAAAAATCAACTGAGCCCTAGCCAGTTTGGCTCAGTGGATAGAGCATTGGCCTGTGGACTGAAGGGTCCCGGGTTCAATTCCGGCCAAGGGCACAAGCCCAGGTTGTGGGCTTGATCCCCAGTAGGGGGCATGCAGGAGGCAGCTGATCCATGATTCTCTCTTATCATTGATGTTTCTTTCTCTCTCCCCCTCTTCTTTCCTCTCTGAAAACAATAAAAAATATATATTTTTAAAGAATCAATGGAAAAAATAATCTCGGGTGAGGATTAACAAACAAAACGGCTCAGGACTGGAACACCCCTACCGTCAGTCAGATGAACAAAGAGCAAAACTCAGGCTAGGAGTGGCCAACCCCAAACCCTAGCTAATAGAATTAGTTGCAGCCCAGCTGGTATGCTCAGTTGTTGAGCATCAACCCATGAACCAGGAGGTCACTGGTTCGATTCCCGGTCAGGGCACATGCCCTGGGTTGCGGGCTTGATCCCCACTGTGAGGAGTGCAGGAGGCAGGTGATCGATATCTCACATATGTTTCTCTCTCTCTCTATCCCTCTCTCTTCCTGTCTCTCTAATAATCAATAAAAACACATTTTTAAAAAGTATTAGTGGCAGGAAAACCTGTAAGGTTTAGTTTCACTTGTAAGGTGAACCCAGTAAGGTAAGAACTTAGAAAAGTCTGTATGTCTGTCCTTATATGGAGAACCCGAGAGACTTCCCTTCTATTCTTTTCTTCTTTTCCTCACTGTCTTCTTTTTTGTTGGAAGGATTGTATACCACAGGCAGGAAAACAGGGACAGAGAGGTCCTTAACGAGCAAAGCAACAGGAGGGGCAAGGAGAAGGTACCGATCAGCACCAGGGTCTTCCTTTTGAACGCAGGGAGCCGAACCACTTCCTCGTAGGAGATGACATCCAACTGGTCAAAAACTAGAGACAAAGGAAACCAGGCAAAGTTCATTTCCAGAGCCCAGGAGAAAGCACGCCCAGCGACTTCCCTGCCTGTGACTCTCCTGCTCCCGTCTTTATCCAGATCAGGACGGAAGCGTTTAATAAGTGCTATATCATTGCCCTAGCCCAAGCATGTCAAACTCACAGCCCGCGGGCCTCATGTGGCCCGCAAGGACTATGTTTGCGGCCCAGCCAATATAATGATATGTAAGAAACGTTTGAATAAAAATTTCATAACTTAAATTTTACAATGTCCTGTTAAACGTAATTATTAATAAAGAACTACAACGTTTGCTAATGACTGATGACTATAATCGTGGTGCATTCATTTCCCTTATGAGCTTTATGCTCAGACGCACCATTTCTTTCCACTAATACCAGCAGCGAATATTTTAGCAGCCGATGGCCACGTCTTTAGTCTTGTACTGACTTGTTTGGTGTGCACAACAGGAAATATTTCACTTTTGGAGAACAAAAAAAAAATAGGTTTATTTGCATGACGCTTATTAATTTGTGCAGTTATTCCGTGTCTGGTAAGTTAATGTTCAAGAAAAAATATTAATTTTTATTAAAATGATCTATTATTTCATGTGAATGATGACTCATGTATTTCAACCCTTTGTATTCAGCATGTCTCTATCAAAATAAACCTACGTTTCTATGAAAATAGAAGCTTTTGTTGTTTTGTGGCCTACACACATTTCAACCTTGGTTATTTGGCCCGTGCTAGCCTTTGAGTTTGACATGATGGCCCTAGCCGGTTTGGCTCAGTGGATAGAGCACTGTCCTGGGGATTGAAGGGTCCAGGGTTCGATTCTAATTAAGGACACATACCTCAGTTGCAGGCTCCTCCCCAACCTGGGCCCTGGTTGGGGTGCATGCAGGAGGCAACCAATTGATGAGTTTCACATTGATATTTCTCTCTGCCTTTCCCTCTCTCTGCCATTCTCTAAAAATCAATGGAAAAATATCTTCAGGTAAGGATTTAAAATAAATAAAATAAAGTGGCTATACCATTTAAAAAAATAAAAAAGTAGTATATTATTATTCATTTACTAATGGCCCAGTGCATGAAATTTGTGCAAGGGGGAAGGGGGATGGAGTGCCCCTCAGCCCGGCCTGCACTCTCTCCAATCTGGGACCCCTATGAGATCGGGTCTAAACCAGCAGTTGGATATCCCTCGCATAATCTGGTACTGCGGGCTCCTAACCACTCACCTGCCTGCCTGCCTGATCAGCCCTAACCACTCTTCCTGATGGCCTGCTTGCCCCCACCTGCCCCCTGCCCCCGCTGGCCTGATCACCCCCAACTGCCCCCACTTGCCAGCTTGATTGTCCCAAACTGCCCCACCTACATGCCTGCTCTCCCGCAACTGCCCCCCCACTGCCCCTGCATGCCAGCCTGATGGCCCCCAATTGCCCCCCTGCCTGCCTGCTCACCCCAACTGCCCCCTGCCAACCTGTTTGCCCCCAACTCTCTCCCCCTCCACCCTGCCAGCCTGCTCACCCCTAACCACCTCTGCCTCAGCCCAGCCACCATGCCTTTGATTGAAAGGAAGTCTGGAAGGTCTCCCAGTCTAATTAGCACATTACCCTTTTACTAGTATAGATTATCTACAATTTTCCTGAAAATCCATTTATAACATTAGTATATTATATTCCCAACCATGGCAGGTTAAAAAAAAAGCCAGAATGAGATCTGGGGAAGACAGCATGCTCTGGGGGTGTTCAGCACTTCCGGCTGGGAGTGCTGATGGAATGGCACACTGAGAAAGGTCTGGAAGGCTGCTCAGCTGCTTACCTGAGGGGTGAGGGTGATGAGTTGGTATGAAAAGGCCACTGGCCTTCCTTTATATGGGGTGTCCCCCCAAATGTATACACCCATTATAAAGACAGTGTTTGTTAAGATACATTTCATTCTCAACATTGAGCTATCAGCTGTGAAAGTGTGTCTATGTTTCTTTGGGGGACACCCTGTATATACTGGCATTGTCTCAGAGAACTTGGGGACATGAGTGTAATAAAAAAAAAGCAGAAGAGCCAGGTCGGCGTGGCTCAGTCGTTGAGCATCGATCGACCTATGAACCAGGAGGTCACAGTTCGATTCCTGGTCAGGACGCATGCCCGGGGTTGCAGGCTCAATCCCCAGTGGGGTATGAAGGAGGCAGCCAATCAATGATTCGCTCTCATCATTGATGTTTCTCTCTTTCTCCCTCTCCCTTCCTCTCTGAAATCAATTAACAATATATTTAAAAAAACAAATAGTAAGAAAAGCAGAAGATGCCCTGGCCTTGTTTGCTCAGTGGTTAGAGCACCGCCCGTGGACCGAAAAGTCGTGAGTTCAATTCCTGATCAAGGGCACATACCTCGGTTGTGGGTTCGATCCTCAGCCCTGGTTGTTCAGGAGGCAACCAATCAATGTCTCTCTCTCTCTCCCTGCCCCGCCTCCTCTCTCCCTTCTACTCTGTCTGAAAATCAGTGGGGGAAAAAAAAAAATCTTCGGGTGAGGATTAGAAAAAAAAAGCAGAAGAAATGGCACGCTTTCAGCATCACGTATGTTGCCCTGAGCAACACGCCCCCTGCCCTGTGCCAGGAGCCCGCAGGGAGGAGCCCAGGAAGTTCAAGGGCACTCACTTGCGCTGTGCTTGGCCAGGTACTTGTCTTTGTACTTCTTCTTCTTCCCGAAGGGGCTGCAGCTCGGGGCTTCACTGGGAGCAGACTGAGCCATACTCGCCACCCTCCTGGCAGGAAAGATGACCAGGACATCAGCGGAGGCCAGTGGGAGGCCCGGGTTCGCTCACCTGACAGAACCCAGTGACCCCCCCAGCCCGTCTATGCAAAACCTCCAGCCTGACCTGCTCCTTCCTGTCCCTGGCACTTGCCGAAAACCTTCATACCCTCTGCCAGCTGCTCATTCTCTGTGAGTCCCTAACACTCATCCTCTCTCTGTCTCTCTGCCCCTCTCTTAATAAAAAAAAAGTTTTACTAGAGGCCAGGTGCATGAAATTCGTGCATGGCAGGGGGCGGTGGGGGGAGGCTGTGTCCCTCAGCCCAGCCTGCACCCTCTCCAATCTGGGACCAGGATCAGGCCTAAAGGGGTGGTCAGAGATCCCTGACCTGGGACCCTAGAGTCCACAGGCTGACGCTCTACCAACTGAGCCAAACCAGCCAGGCATTTTTTTTTTTCTCTCTCGCCCCATTTTCCATGCACTGGCAATTTGCATAAAGGGCGTGTATTTACAATGTGACTGTTTCCTGCAGGGCTCAGGAAGGCACCAGCCTGCAAGGCAGGAGAGCAGGGAAGCTCCAGTCCCGGTGCTGCCACCTCCTTGTAGGGACAGGGAGAGCATCTGAGGAAACAGAGGCCCTCGGATGAATGAAGAGCTATTCGGGGATCCTGTAAAGGCCCACCAGCCCGGCCGGTGTAGCTCAGTGGTTGAGCGTCAACCTATGAACCGGAAGGTCACGGTTCGATTCCTCATCAGGGCACGTGGCCTGGTTGTGGGCTCCATCCCCAGTAGGGGGCGTGCAGGAGGCAGCCAATTGATGATTGGCTCTCATCACTGATGTTTTCATCTCTCCCTTCCTCTCTGAAATCAATAAAAATATACTTAAAAAATATATTTTTAAAAAGTCCTGCTAGCGCCGAAACCGGTTTGGCTCAGTGGTAGAGCGTCGGTCTGCGGACTGAAAGGTCCCTGGTTCGATTCCGGTCAAGGGCATGTACCGTATTTTTCGGACCATAAGACGCACTTTTTTCCCCCCAGAAGTTGGGGGGAAAAGTCCCTGCGTCTTATGGTCCAAATATAGCCTACACATATACTTTTAAAAAAAAGTTTTTTTACTTGCCCGGCTCTGTGTGGTCTCTGTGTGCTTGCCCGGCTCTAAAACGGTTCTAAATGCTGCTGTTTACTTTACAGGGTTGATTACATGTGTTTATGACTGTGATGTTGGGTTTTAATGCACATAAAATATTTTAGGACACTATTTGTTTCAGAATCTTTTTTTCTTCATTTCCCTTCTCTAAAAACTGGTGCGTCTTATGGTCCGGTGCGTCTTATGGTCCGAAAAATACGGTACGTTGGTTGCAGGCACATTGCCAGTGGGGGGTGTGCAAGAGGCAGCTGGTCAATGTTTCTCTCTCATCGACATTTCTAGCTCTCTATCTCTCTCCTTTCCTCTCTGTAAAAAATCAATAAAATATATTTTAAAAAAAGTCCTGCTAGGTAAGCTTATCAACTCATTCTGTCAGGGAAGCTGGGAGATTGGCATGGTTGAGAAAGAGAAACTACACGCAGGATGACAGGTTCGGGAAGCTAAAACACTACTGGTGACAGGTACGGGCCCATGCCACCTGCCAATGCCACCCACGGGAAAGCGGCTCACCATTCCTGCAGCTCAGGAGACGGGATCAGGCCTGCTGACTCCTTGGAAGAGCCTTCCACGCGCCCTTGCCACCAGTTACTGTCGTCCTTGTTGATGATCTGGATGATGTCCCCAGTAGCAAACTTCAGTCCCGCCTCCTTGCAAGGAATCAGGTTGTCCTTTTTGGGGTCGTAGTCGAACTGCGCTCGCATGAACATCTGAAAGAGAAGGCAAAGGGCAGCTTCAGGAGAAACCCCGGCATCAGCACACTTGATAGAAAGTTCTGCTGAAAATAAGTAGGGTCAGGCTCTAGCCGGTTCGGCTCAGTGGATAGAGCATCGGCCTGTGGACTGAAGGGTCCCGGGTTGGATTCTGGTCAAGGGTACATGCCCGGGGGCGTGCAGGAAGTAGCTGATCAGTGATTCTCTCTCATCGTTGATGTTTCTATCTCTCTCTCCCTCTCGCTTCCTCTCTGAAAACAATAAAAATATATATTTTTAAAAAAGGTAGGGTCAGAACTGAATGAATAAATCAGAGGCAAGAAGCAAGAATGGACAAGGGGGGGAGGGGGATGGAGAGGAGAGGGCAGGGCAGAGGAGGGGCTTGCAGCCAGTGTCACTCACCAGTTGAGCATCAACCCAGGAATCAAGGGGCCCCGGGTTGGGTTCCTGATCCGGGCACAGGCCTGGCTTGTAGATTCAATCCCCAGTAGGGGGCGTGCAGGAGGCAGCTGATGTATGATTCTCTCTCATCATTGATGTTTCTATCCCTCTCTCTCCCTCTCCCTACCTCTCTGAAATTAATAAAAATATATTTTAAAAAATACCGGGGATGTGCCCGCAACCAAGGTATGAGCTGCCTTTGTGAGGTGACATGTTTGTGGTTATTGGTCTGAGTTGATGGCCCCTTGACCCCACAACCCAGTTCTATGCGGAAGTTGTCAGTTACAAAGTATAGATAATATCTTCACCACAGAATTATTTGTTTTCTTCTCCTTTTATTTATTTATTTATTTATTTTTGTTAATCCTCACCTGCGCATATTTTTCCATTGAGTTTTAAAGGGAGTGGAAGAGAGAGGGAGAGCCAGAGAGAAGCATCGATGTGAGAGAAACACATCGACTGGTTGCCGCTCACACGATTTCTGACAGGAGGGGGAGGGGGGCAGGCAGGGATTGAACCTGCAACGAGGTACATGCCCTTGACCGGAATCGAACCTGGGACCCTTGAGTCCTTGGGCCGATCCTCCAACCACTGAGCCAAACCAGCTAGGGCCACAAAATTATTTATAAGGGTGAACTACTGGAAACAACCTGATTTTCCAAGAATGGGGGATTTAGTTAAGTTTTGATCATCTACTGAATGTATGACCACATACCTATAAAAATCAACGTGTAGAAGAATATTGAAAGCCTTTGAAAAATGCTGCTGATATAACATTAAATGAGAATATCGGTCAACAAAAACAACACCTAGCACACTTGATATATATATATTTTTTTAACCAGAGTGACGCCCTTTATTTTATTTTATTTTATTTTATTTTATTTTATTTTTTTAATATATTTTATTGATTTTTTACAGAGAGGAAGGGAGAGAAATAGAGAGCTAGAAACGTCAATGAGAGAGAAACATCGACCAGCTGCCTCTTGCACACCCCCTACTGGGGATGTGCCCGCAACCAACGTATTGATACATGCCCCTGACCAGAATCGAACCTGGGACCTTCCAGTCCGCAGACCGACGCTCTACCACTGAGCCAAACCGGTTTGGGCATACTTGATATTTTTTTAAAAAATATGTATTTATACATAATCTTCCTCGGGGAGGAAGATTAGGGGTGCATATCTAAGCCAAAGAAAGAAGAAAAATAATAAAGAGCAGAAACAAATCAGACAAGAGTTGAGAGGATCAACAAAGGCAAAAGCGGTTCTTTAAAGAATCACGAAATTAAGAACCTAGCAAGGCCAATTAAGAAGAGAAGAGCCCTAGCTCGTTTGGCTCAGTGGATAGAGCGTCTGCCTGCAGATAGAAGGGTCCCAGGTTCGATTCCGGCCAAGGGCACATGCCCAGGTTGCGGGCTTGATCCCCAGTAGGGGGCATGCAGGAGGCAGCCAGTCAATGATTCTCATCATTGATGTTTCTATCTCTCGCTCTCCTCCTCTCTGAAATCAATAAAAATATATTTAAAAAAAAAGAAAAGAGAGAAGATACCATTTCCCAGTAGAGATCCCAGAGCTGTTTAAAAGGTTATATGATTTTTTTTTTTTGCCGAAACCGGTTTGGCTCAGTGGTAGAGTGTCAGTCTGCGGACTGAAAGGTCCCGGGTTCGATTCCGGTCAAGGGCATGTACCTTGGTTGCGGGCACATCCCCGGTAGGGGGTGTGCAAGAGGCAGCTGGTCAATGTTTCTCCCTCATCGATGTTTCTAGCTCTCTATCTCTCTCCCTTCCTCTCTGTAAAATATCAATAAAATATATTAAAAAAAATAAAAAAAATAAAAGGTTATACGATTTTTATGAACAATTTCACACCAATACTTTTGACAAATCACTGGAAAAACACAATTTACCAAACGCAACACAAGAAAATAAAACTATGAACACTGATATGTCTATTAAAGCCTCTGAACTTGTCACAATAATCTGTAGTAGAAACTTCAAGTTATTTAACAAAATAAATAAACCAAACCAAACTCCTCCCACAATTCATCTGCCAAGGCCCCGTCCTGTCCGAGCTATTTCTCTCTTCGATGGCAGCATTGGATATGTTTTCACATGTTTACTGCCATGTGTGTTTTCCCTCCTAGGAATGAATTCTTCATTCTCCTCACCTGTTTTCTTCTTGGGATTGTGGAATAAGGAGATTACCCCTTTCTTTAGAATTCATTGCAAACAGGCAGCAAAGTACCAACCCTGCCGGTAGATGTTAGCTTAGTTCAGAGAGCACCAACTATATCTGTAAGATATATAGTTATGCCTGGCTGGCATGGCTCAGTGGTTGAGCATCAACCAATGAACCAGGAGGTCACGGTTCAATTCCCAGTCAGGTCACATGCCCGGGTTGTGGGCTTGATCCCCAGTAGGGGGTGTGCAGGAGGCAGCCGATCAGTGATTCTCATCATTGATGTTTTTCTCTCTCTCCCTCTCCCTTCTGCTCTGAAGTCAATAAAAAAAAATCTATTTTTTAAAATATTTTCAATACAATCATACCATTTCAATCACATCTCAACACTGGGCCTGAATCCTGCCATCACCACAACGGAGCACACCCACCTGTAATGCAGGAAGACGGTTTTGCTGGTTGGGAATTACTTTTAATGAGATGATTCCTTTGGTTTCTTTCTATAAAAAAAGAAAGGGGAAATAAATGTTAAGGAAAACGAACGCGGATGATTTGGGGTTTCATAAAGTCATCTCCCCCCTCAGAGTCCCATGTGTTTCTTTTCCCAACTGCCATTTTTAAAAAAATATTTTATTGATTTTCTACAGAGAGGAAGGGAGAGAGACAGAGAGCCAGAAACGTCGATGAGAGAGAAACATCGACCAGCTGCCTCCTGCACAACCCCACCGAGGATGTGTCCGCAACCAAGGTACATGTCCTTGACTGGAATCGAACCCAGGACCTTTCAGTCCGCAAACGGACGCTCTATCACTGAGCCAAACCGGTTTCGGCAAAAAATCAATAAAATATATTTTAAGAAAAGAGAAAGATAGTGAAATCTTGGATTATAATCATGGATTTGTATTTTTCTTCTTTTGGTTCTGCCAGGTTTTGCTTCCAGTACCTTGGAGTTCTGTCATTAAGGGTCTGGGCATTTGAGATTGGGTCATTTCAAGAGGCAGGATATGTATGGTGCCTGTTCTCCATCTTGGTCAGAACCAGAAGTCTACACTAGGAGTTTTGATGAAAGCAAATGATTTTTAACATATTTTTTATTGATTTCAGAGAGGAAGGGAGAGAGAGATAGAAACATCCATGATGAGAGAGAGAGAATCATGGATCTGCTGCCTCCTGCATGCCCCACTGGGGATCCAGTCCACAACCCAGGAATGTGCCCTTGACGGGAATCGAACCCGGGACCTTTCAGTTCACAGGCCGACACTCTATCCACTGAGCCAAACCGGCTAGGGCTGCAATCAAATTCTTAAAAGCCATGTGATTGTGGGCAAGTTTCAGAACTCTCCAAGGTTCCGTTTCCTCATTTCTGTCTCAAGTGAAAAAAACGCATTTTGGTTTTCAAATGACACTTCCTCCCGGGTTGCTGTTCTCTGATTCGTTTCCAGGCAAGTACCTAGCGTCTCGCAGTGCCCAGGTGTGGCTTCTGCTGCGGTGGCCAATGACACCCAACCACCCATGGCTGTTTTTTTTTTTTTTTTTAATTTAAAAAAATATATATTTTATTGATTTTTTACAGAGAGGAAGGGAGAGGAAGAGAGAGTTAGAAACATCGATGAGAGAGAAACATCGATGAGCTGCCTCCTGCAACCCCCGCCCCCCCTGAGGATGTGCCCGCAACCAAAGTACATACCCTTGATCGGAACTTGGGACCCGTGAGTCCGCAGGCCAATGCTCTATCCACCAAGCCAAACCAGTCAGGGCCCCATGGGTTGTTTAAAAAAAAAATGTTTACTGTTGCCCTAGCCGGTTTGGCTCAGTGGATAGAGCGTCGGCCTGCAGACTCAAGGGTCCCGGGTTCGATTCTGGTCAGGGGCATGTGCCTTGGTTGTGGGCACATCCCCAGTGGGGTGTGCAGGAGGCAGCTGATCGATGTTTCTCTCTCATCAATGTTTCTGGCTCTCTATCCCTCTCTCTTCCTCTCTGTAAAAAAATCAATGAAATATATTAAAAAAAAAAAAAAAAAGAATATCCCATTTGCTCTGCATAACAAATCCATGACATAAGAATAGGAGTTACTATCTTCATTTTACAGATGACTTGGAGACGTTAACTCACTTGCTCAAAAATCACAGGGCTAGAATAAAGAAAGGCAGGGATTCTGAGCTGTCATTACAGACCAATGCCTTCTGCCAGCCAGGCCAACGTTCTTTCTAGACAGATGCTCTGTGCTATTTGCCTTGTTTGAGAAGTTTACTAAATGCAAGCAGAGAACTCATTTCTTGCACAGGATAAACATTGCGAATGGTTTTCTCCATGAGATACAAATACTCGGACAGAAAGAATGAGGCACACCGACACCAATGAGGACAATGATATAGCAAATACCCACCATTGCCTTCTGCAGCTGATCTACCGAGTGATTGGTCACGTTTGTACCATTGATTTCTAGGATCTCATCCCCCACGTGAAGGGAACCTGCCGTGAAATGAAAAATCAGTCCACAAAAGAATCAATGTTCAACCCTGTAAAGCATATGATTGTCTAATCTCTACGCTGCAGACCTGAAACTAACATAGAATAATATCGAATGGAAACTAATAGAAAAAAAATTTTTTTGCGTAGAATAAATGTTCAGCCTGGCTGGTGTGGCTCAGTGGTTGAGCATTGACCTGAGAGCCAGGAGGTCATGATTGGATTCCTGGTCAGGGCACGTGCCTGGGTTGTGGGCTTGGTCCCCAGTAGGGGGCGTGCAGGAGGCAACTAATCAATGATTCTCATCATTGATGTTTCTAACTCTCTCCCTCTCCCTTCCTCTCTGAAATCAATTTTAAAAAATATTTTTTAAAAGGAAACTAGCCCTGACCAGTTTGGCTCAGTGGATAGAGCGTCAGCCTGAGGATTGAAGGGTCCCAGGTTCAATTCCGGTCAAGGGCATGTACCTTGGTTGCGGGCACATCCCCAGTAGGGGGTGTGCAAGAGGCAGCTGGTTGATGTTTCTCTCTCATCGATGTTTCTAACTCACTATCCCTCTCCCTTTCTATCTGTAAAAAAATCAATATATATTTTTTAAAAAGGAAACCACAGAAAAGAAACCATGACCTAGAGCACATGTGTCAAACACAAGGCCCGCGGGCCAAATCCGTCCTGCCAGGCCTTGCAATGTGGCCCGCACCGCGCTGTCATCACTGCACTCCGCTGCGTTTCCATCACAATGACAGTTTATGACTGTTCAGTAAACCATTCGGCCCGCGATTTAGGCTGGATTTTAGATTTTGGCCCCTTCTCTGATTGAGTTCGACACCCCTAACCTAGAGGATAGTATAAAATACAGAATTTTACACAATTCAACCATGAATGTTCTTTTGTTTCCCTTGAGGAATGTATCAAGGCAAGTACTTCATGGTTTGATTATCACACCCTCCCTGACCTCAGTACTCCGACAGCAGAATAAAAGCACCTTGCCCTTGCCCTGACCAGGTAGTTCAGGTGGTTGAAGGGCTGCACGTTTGATTCCCTGTCCGGGCACATACCTAGGTTGTGGTTACCATCTCCGGTCGGGGCATGTACGGGAGGCAACCAATTGATTGATGTTTCTCTCTCACATTGATGTTTCTCTCTCTCTCTCTCTCTCTCTCTCTCTCTCTCTCTCTCTCAACATGTCCTCGAGTGAGGATTTTTAAAAATAATAAAAATAAATAAATGAAAGCACCTCATCCTCAAACTTCCCTGTAATTAGAGATCCCACTAAAAATAATAACAATGTAAGGCAAAGTACACGGTTCTCCTCATTCGCCAGAAAGTTCGATATTTCTTTGTTGTTTAGTTAAAACCCCCAAATGTTACCTTATGGTAAAGCTCACCAGTATTTAGATTCTATGTGAAGAGTGCTGACCAATATTTGTGACACCCCAGATACAAAGCTGTACATAAAAGGGTAGGAGCTAATGTTTAATGTCTATTTGCTCAATTTAACTGTGAGCTCCAGGAGGTATAGATGGTCTGTTTTCTTCACTACTCTGTACTCAAATTCTAATGCAATGGGTTGTATACAATAATTGCTCAAATATTAAATGGGAAAATATTGGTATTCTATATAATAAAAGCCCAATATGCTAAGTGTCCGACCATTCGACCAGTTGCTATGACACGCACTGACCACCAGAGGCCAGACACCCAACAGGTAGATTAGCTTGCTGCTGGGGTCCAGACAATCGGGACTGGGTGAGATGGGCCAGACATGCCCTGAAGCCTTCCTTCAGTCCCTCCTTGGCCCCAATTGTGCACTGATGGGGTGGTCTGCACCCTCTCGCAATCCGGGACCCCTCAGGGGATGTCGGAGGGCTGGTTTCAGCCTGATCCCCTTGGGCCCGTGTATATAAATGGGTGTATAAGCACTGAGCAATTCATATGAAGAGTTTATCACTCAATTATTCTAAAAAGCCAGTTATTAAGCCACAAATAATCTTTTGGCACACATAAAAAAATGCTGGGTTTTTTGTTGTTGTTAATCCTTACCCAAGGATATTATCCTCCTTGATTTTTAGAGATATTGGAAGTGGAGAGAGAGACACACATCGATGTGAGAGAGACACATCAATTGGTTGGTTGCCTGCCACATGCAGGCTGACTGGAGGCAGGGATCAATCCTGCAACCGAGGTGCATGCCCTTGACCGGGAATCGAACCCATGACCCTTCATTGCCAGGACTGAAGCTCTACTACTGACCTACACAGGCTAGGGCCCAAAAATGCTCCTGGTTTTGAAGATTATAAGCTTCACGTCCCTCACCACTGAGGTGAGTGACACAATCTAGGAACCCCGCAGAGTACCTTGTCTGTGAATCATGCCGCCATGAAGAATCCTCGCCACCGTACAGGACTGCTTTTCGTTCAGCTTCAGTGTGATTCCCTGAAACAGAGACAACGGTGCAGAATGCTTTACTTTAAGCTCTTTCGGAGGTTATTTTGAAGACCATTTAAGGCAATTTTTATTTTATTTTATTTTAATAAATCTTTATTGTTCAGATTCTTACAATTGTTCCTCTTTTTCCCTCCATATCTCCCCTCCACCAGGTTCCTATCCCACCCTCTGCCTCCACCCCCCACCCCGCCACTATCCTCCATAGGTATACGTTTTTAAAAAGTATATATTTTATTGATCTTTTACAGAGAGGAAGGGAGAGGGATAGTTAGAAACATCAATAAGAGAGAAACATCGATCAGCTGCCTCCTGCATACCCCCTACCAGGGATGTGCCCACAACCAAGGTACATGCCCTTGACTGGAATCGAACCTGGGACCCTTCAGTCCGCAGGCTGATGCTCTATCCACTGAGCCAAACCGGTTTCAGCAGGTGTACACTTTTTGTTCAGTCTCTTCCCGCACCCCCACTCCCCCTGCTGAGAATTGTCAGTTCACACCCTTTCTATGCCCCTGATTCTATTATATTCTCCAGTTAATACTGTACATCAGATTTTTTATTCCCTTGGTTTTTAGATTCACTTTTAGATACATATTTGTTGTTCATAATTTTTATCTTTACTTTTTTCTTCTTCTTCCTCTTCTTAAAGAATACCTTTCAGCATTTCATATAATTCTGGTTTAGCGGTGATGAACTCCTTTAGCTTTTTTTTTTTTTTTTTTTAATGTATGAAGTTCTTTATCTGACCTTCAATTCTGAATGATAGCTTTTCTGGGTATAGTAATCTTGGTTGTAAGGCAATGTTTCAGGAGAAAGATTTTGCATCTATACATGGGGTGCTCCTCAACTAGAACGGCATGAAGCCTGCATGGAGGAGGAACTTGAGATGGAGACAGACTATGTGACAGCTGGCTGCTCCCCTAACTCAGCTTCTGAGTTTCCTCTTGGGGCCCAGTGACGTATGTGGTTGAGAGTAAGCAGCGGGTAAAAGGACAAGGGGTTACCATAGGCTCCTCGGTGACCTTCTCGAACTGGATGAGTCGCACCTTCCGCATCTCCTGCCCCTTAGCCTGGGTAGGGCTACCCGGGGCAGCAGGCCCATCGGTATACATGTCCTCGGTCACGGCATTCAACTGGTGCTTCACGGCCTGTCCCATCAAAACAACAGAGCAATGTGTGAAGTAAGCAGCAGAGATCCCCCCCACTAGGTCAGTCTGTAATAGCAATTCTAAAACCCATGGCCGGCCGGTGTGGCTCAGTGGTTGAGCATTGACCTGTGAACCAGAAGGTCACGGTTCGATTCCTGGTCTGGGCACATGCCGGGTTGTGGACTTGATCCTCAGTAGGGGGCGTGCCGGAGGCAGTCAATCAATGATTCTCTCTCATCATTGATGTCTCTCTCTCCCTCTCCCTTCCTTTCTGAAATTAATAAAAGTATATTTTTAAAAAATTAAACCCCAAGGCTCTGACAACCAACAGTGCTGAGTTTGGCATCCAATCTCTTTGAATTTATGCGAAGCTGTCTGGAAGCTTTATTTAGCCAACTTAATAGACATGTTGATTCAGCTCTCTGCAGAAATATTAATGTGTTTGATTTGCAGGGTACTGCCCTGCTGGGAGGATTAAAAAAGGAGAACACAGCCAGGAAAGCTGTGATTTCTAATGCACATTGGGCCCCAAGAGCTCCTGGTAAGGGGCTGTGTACTGACATGGGGCGCGCGCGCGCGTGCGCACACACACACACACACACACACACACACACACACACACACACGCACACACTCCATAGTGAAGGGCCAAGGGGGTTAACTCAGAATGGGAGGAGGAGAGCGGACAGCTGTGGTGGGAAAGCCTCAGTAACGCAGAGAAGTGAGCACGGATGGTGCGACCTTTCCCATTCCGATAATAAGTGCCTCTCCAGCCGAAATCGGTTTGGCTCAATGGATAGAGCGTCGGCTTGGGGACTGAGAGGTCCCGGGTTCGATTCCGGTCAAGGGCATGTACCTTGGTTGCGGGCATATCCCCGGTGGGGGGGTGTGCAAGAGGCAGCTGATCGATGACTCTCTCTCATCGATGTTTCTAGCTCTCTATCTCTCTCCCTTCCTCTCTGTACAAAATCAATAAAAATATATTTTTTTAAAAAAATAAGCGCCTCTCCAGTGCCAAGAGCTCTGGTGAGATCAGACCCAACTGCTCTTCCCTCTTTAAGTCCTTTAAATATATATATGATTTCTTTACGGAGAGGAGGGGAGAGGGATAGAGAGTTAGAAACATCGGTCAGCTGCCTCCTGCACATTCTCTTCTGGGGATGTACCCGCAACCAAGGTACAAGCCCTTGACCGGAATCGAACCTGGGACCCTTATCTCAGGCCGACACTCTATCCACTGAGCCAAACTGGTTAGATCCCCCTTTGCTTCCTGATGCTCTGGGTCACACAGCAGGAAACGTGATTCAGGTTACCATCAGTTTCTCACAAACCACCTCTGAGGCTCTAAAGAAACTAGAGGCCCGGTGCACATTGAAAGCAAATTAATTAGAATATTTTAGAGGCCGGAGAGGGACTGTGGGAGGTTGGCTCTAGGGCATGTCCGGCCTGTCTCGCCCAGTCCTGACTGGCTGGACCCCAGCAGCAAGCTAACCTACTGGTCAGAGAATCTGCCCCCTGGTGGTCAGTGCAAGTCATAGCAACCAGTTGACTGGTCCTTCGGTCGTTTAGGCCCATGGTTGGCAAACTGAAGCTCTCGAGCCACGTGCAGCTCTTTGGCCCCTTGAGTGTGGCCCTTCCACAAAATACCACGGCCTGGGTGAGTCTATTTTGAAGAAGTGGCGTTAGAAGAAGTTTAAGTTTAAAAAATGTGGCTCTCAAAAGAAATTTCAATCGTTGTACTGTTGATATTTGGCTCTGTTTACTGAGTTTGCCAACCACTGATTTAGGCTTTTATATGTATAGATATTTTCTTTTCCTAGACGAAAATTCAATTCAGGATTGGGCATTGCATTGAGTTTGCACGTCTCTTTAATCATCCTTCATTAGGAAAAGTTCCTCAGTCTTTTATGACCTTGACATTTTTTAAGAGGACAGGGCTATTGTGTTTGTTTGTTTGTTGTTGTTGTTGTTTTGTTTTTTTTAAAATATATTTTATTGATTTTTTTTTTTTTTTACAGAGAGGAAGGGAGAGAGATAGAGAGCTGGAAATGTCGATGAGAGAGAAACATCAACCAGCTGCCTCTTGCACACCCCCTACCGGGGATGTGCCCGCAACCAACGTACATGCCCTTGACCGGAATTGATCCTGGGACCTTTTAGTCCGCAGACCGACGTTCTACCGCTGAGCCAAACCAGTTTCAGCTGTTGTTGTTTTCTTAATATATATTTTTAAATATATATATTTTTATTGATCTCAGAGAGGAAGGGAGAGGGAGAGAGAGAAACATCAATGATGAGAATCACTGATCGGCTGCCTCTTGCACACCCCACACTGTGGATTGAGCCCACAACCTGGGCACGTGCCCTGATTGTTGCTCAACCACTGAGCCACACCAGCCAGGCAGGGCTACCATTTTGTAGACTGTCTCTCAGTTTGTATTTGTCCAATGTTTTCACATGATTAGTCTGAGGTTATGCATCTCACAGATGATCACCTTTTCCTCCCTGAAATGCTCCTTCCCAGTCTTCTTTGCTGGCTTTCCCTCACCTTTCTAAACTATTGATGTTGGCCCTAGCTGGTTTGGCTCAGTGGATAGAGCGTCGGTCTGGGGACTGAAGGGTCCCAGGTTCAATTCCGGTCAAGGGCACATGCCCGGGTTGCAAGCTCAATCCCCAGTGGGGGGCGTACAGGAGGCAGCTGATCAATGATTCTCTCTCATTACTGATGTTTCTATCTCTCTCTCCTCCCTTCTTCTCTGAAATCAATTAAAAATTTTTTAAAAAATAAACTATTGATGTTGAAGTAGCCCAGGTCTTCGGTAGCACGATGATTGTGGGGAAGGCCAAGTAGAAATCTCTAAAAGTGCCCTCCATCCTGGTAAAATATAAATAAAAAACAATATGGAGGAGAAGGAGCAGGCTGAGCTTGCTTTATGGAAGGGTCAATTCAATATCTGAGTAGAAGCTGAAAATGGCTGGCAGTTGCATTCCAGCCATACCCTGGGGTGTCCCTCAGACAGTGGGGCTGTGAGTGGTGCACCTTGTTATCCACTTTGTGGAGAAGGTGAAGTGGGAATTAGTTATTCATTCATTCACTCATTCATTCATTCACTCATTCCTGGGAAGTGCCCAATGGCCTATCCAAAAGACTATATGGAAAAGGGTTGGTAGATCAGAGACAAGGAGGCTTGAAGCTGTGGATGGGCATATATGTCATAAGATAGGGGGTGTTACTCATAAAACAATATACTATTTTATTTTATTTTAATTTATTTATTTTTAATCCTCATCCAAGGATATTTTCCATTGATCTTTTAGAGAGAGTGGAATAGAGAGGGAGAGACAGAGAGAAACATCGATGGGAGAGAAACACATCAATTGGTTGCCTCCTACACATGCCCCAACCAGGGCCACGGAGAAGCCTGCAACCGTGGCCTTGACCAGAATCGAACCAGGGACACTTGGGTCTGCAGGACAACGCTCTATCCACTGAGCCAAACCAGCTAGGGCTACTATTGCCATTTTAATGAACATATTTCTAAGAGGTCAATGGAGACTGAGAAGATGATGACACTTGAAATAGTGCTAGTGACATGGTGGCCTCAAATGAGGGAAGTACTAAGAAAGAGAAACTGCCTGTGTAGCAACCAGACTCACATGACATCGAATCATAGGACATCGCTCTGAAAACAGAATCGCCTGCGACAGGGTTGTATACTTAGAAATCCGACTTCTTTTACCTGGAAGCATAACTTCAAGGTTCTCTACAGCAGACGGCTCAACAGTATAGTTCATATTGCTTCTCCTGGGCCAGTGGTCGGCAAACTCACTAGGCAACAGAGCCAAATATCAACAGTACAACAACTGGAATTTCTTTGGAGAGCCAGTTTTTAAACATAAACTATATAGGGAGGTATACTGTTATTAACTTCATTAGGGTCCTCCTAAGCTGGCCTTTGCCAAAAACTCATGGGGCCAGAGAGCCGCAGTTTGCTGACCACTGTCCTGGGGGCATCCTAGCATGTAGCAAGGACAAGGAGGGGCTGCGGTTAACCTTGAAGATAATTTGTTAAGAGGAAGAAAAACCCATAGTGAGGAAAGGTATGCTACCATCAGCATCAACAGCGAACCAATGACCGCGTTCATACTTGCTTATAAATGCATATGTGACCTCTAAAAGCAGATACAGGCAACCGGAGCGCTTCTAGAAGGAGAACTGGGTGACCACAGAATGGGGTGAGAAGGAAATTGTATTCCCCGTATAGCCACTTCAACCTTTCTTTTTTTTAAATATATTTTAATGATTTTTTACAAAGAGGAAGGGAGAGAGATAGAGAGCTAGAAACGTCGATGAGAGAGAAACATCGACCAGCTCCCTCTTGCACACCCCCTACCGGGGATGTGCCCGCAACCAATGTACATGCCCTTGACCAGAATCGAACCTGGGACCTTTCAGTCCGCAGACCGACGCTCTATCCACTGAGCCAAACCGGTATCGGCCACTTCAACCTTTCCAATGACTTTCTGTGTGTGTGTGTTACTGCGGTCAAGGAAATCAGTGAGAGGAGAAAGGCAGCACAGGTAACAGATCCAAACTGTTCTGGGTCTGAGTCCTGACTCTCACTAGCATCTGGGTGATGGCGAGCTCTCGGTGCTTCTCTTACAAATGTGGGCTATTGCCGAAACCGGTTTGGCTCAGTGGATAGAGCGTCTGCCTGCGGACTGAAAGGTCCCGGGTTCGATTCCGGTCAAGGGCATGTACATTGCTTGCGGGCACATCCCCAGTTGTGGGTGGGCAGGAGGCAGCTGATCGATGTTTCTCTCATCGATGATTCTAGCTCTCTATCCCTCTCCCCTCCTCTCTGTAAAATATCAATAAAATATAATTTTAGAAAAACGAAAACAAAAACCAATGTGGGCTATTGGCCCGGTCTGTCTGTAGGAGAGGGCTGAGATGCATTTAGAATCCTGAAAGAGCCCTAGATGGTTTGGCTCAGTGG